GGGGGGGACTGAAAAGGGGAGGGGGGAAGGGGAGGAGGAGAGATAAAACCAAAAAATAGAGACGAAAAGGCAAACGAGAAAAGTAACCTACTTGAAACCGATCATAATGAAGACGGAGAGCACCAAGGAGACCAGAGAAATTCCATAGCCAACATTGTACATCAGTCGGATACGATCCATATGGGCCTGGGGAGACAGAATACATCAAATATACCAGTAAGAACATAAACACGGGTATTACAGAGAATATTGTATAATGATGAAGAAAAATTATGGGAAAAAGCACGACGCATTGCTCATACTGGCGGTGTTGTGAAAAAAGGCGGATGTGTGTGCCTCATGATAGGAAAAGCTTTTTTCTTAGCACTAATGATCTTCCAAGGAATGTGTTGCGTAAATGTTATTTTCCTTAGCGCAGAAAAAAGCGTAAACATCTTTTTTTAGGGCATGAATTGCACAAAAAGCCTTATTTTGCTTATGTGTGAAGGATCTTAATAACAATTAAACTATACCTAAACTTTCTGAAATACACATTACTTATCAGAATCCCTCACAACACATGTCCTTGAGCAACGTGAGCAGTCAATACTTGACGAACCGTCTCCGAGACATGCCCTTTTTGTCCCCGGGCTATTCTACGATAATCAGACTACGATTTCTGTACACTCCTATATTTGCATTAGCACCATTGTGTTAGCGCAATTAGACACCGACGATTAACATTAACACTGCATGTTTGTTCTGTTGAGCAGGCTGAGCAGAGTCCTCGCTTCGATTTACTCTTCATTAGAGGTCACTCTGATCCTGTTGTAGGCGATAGAAATATGCACTAAGCATTCTTATACCTGAGACGGATTCTCCCCTCCGTTATGTCTTCCTCCTCAGCAATATATTACAGCTATTTTTCCCAGTTTCAGTTTACATGCCAAGCAGAACGAATCAAAATGTATGTCCAGGAGAAAAAGAAAGCTTAAAATACGACCTGTCTCTAGTTAAATTTACGACTCCTGAAAATTCTTTATACAAGGCAGACAAAAAAAAAATAAACCGGATAGCAGCCAAATTTTAATGTTCAAAATGTTGCCAACTGTTATCGATTTTGCTCCGCCTCTGTTCTCAATATAAAAAGCTCAAACCCTCCTACAACACACACACACACACACACACACACACACACACACACACAC